AGTCTTTGCTCTTGAAGCCTCTAGCGAGTAAAACAAATACATAAAAACTTGAGTAGCAGTATGAACAGGTTGTACTGCGTCCCAAATGATTCAGTATGAGTCCTGAAGACACCAGAGCAAAGGAATTCAGAGGCCATGACAGGGTTGAAGAGGAGCTCCTGAAGTGGCATATTCTGACAGACAGTAAGCAACAGGCGGCCATTTTTTTGTTCTTCAGTTACCTGTGACTCATTGTGTATTTTTAAGGAATGGAATTACCTGTTTTTTGTATTCTCTTTACAGCCTGAAGAGTTGAGAGAAATCATCGAGAAGACTAGAGAAATGGAGCAGAACAATGGCCACTACTTTGACACGGCAATTGTGAATTCAGATCTTGATAAAGCCTATCAGGAATTGCTTAGGTTAATTAACAAACTTGATACTGAACCTCAGTGGGTACCGTCCACTTGGCTGAGGTGAGGGAAACATCCATTCTGTGGTATGATTGGACTTATCTGGCAAACTGCCACTAGGAAGAGAGCCCTGATACTTCAGCAAGACCCTGAGGTAGCAGGCCAAATAAGCTGTAGACCTGTTCTTTGATCTCAAACTAGTGAGAAAATCCCCTTAGGCAATTTGTGCATAGCAGTCTTTATTCTCTGGACATGGCTTCAGAGATTCTTGCCTCCTCTGAGGATTCTAAATGGAAGCTTTCAATAGACCAGTTCCATTTTATCCCTATAAAAATGTTTTAATTATGTTTTCACCTAACTAAATCTTTTCTGCCTGGTCCTATTTCCATGAAAAACTTGTCTGTATATATACAATGGTCCATGTCTCACATAGTTATAAATATTGATGCTATTTAACAGTTAACTTAAAGGACTTCATGGGAATGGGGAGAGGTGGGGGACGACTGTGCTTTCGTGTACTGGGCAGGACAGTATTTGGTCAGAAGGCTTGTTTTGTCATCGGAAGTATTTTCCTAAAATGGTGCCACTTTGGTCTCAAGCTATTCTGTTAGGCTTAAATTCATTTATGTGTCTTTGAATTCTGAAACATTCCATTAGAAAGACTAGTTTTTTTTAGCTCAGACTATGTGGATCAGATTTCATGGCACACTCAACAGATTCTGATCTAATTAAATATCTTTTTAACGATTTTCTGAAGTTTTTGCTTATATCGTCACAAGTGATTCTGTAACCTTGCATCATTTCTCTGATCTGCATAGTACAATAGAATGTGTAAGTTACACTTTTATGAATGGCAGATGGTCATATAAACTGCTGATGGTTAGTTTTTCCTCATGATGCAAATCGTTTTTCATATATATAAGAGGACATAGCACATTTGACAGTTTTGCATTTTTTATATATGAGCACAGTATAATTTGATGACTGTGCCATATATAAGTAATAAACTGGAATTGTGGGATGAAATGTGGGATGAATATAGCTGCTGTACTGTATACTAATATTTAATAGGTTGACAAATGGTCATTGATAACTCATTTAGCATTGGAATAAAATTATACCCAAAGGAAGATACTGTAACAACTGACTTTGAGATCACAAGGAAAGGATGACCTGAAAGTCATTTGAACGTTATAGGAAAAGAACATAGGTGGGGGCGGGGAGTTAAGCATACAGAAGCAAGTTTTTATCCTATCAAGTTCTGCCTCTTAATGACCAGAATGCAATGTCTTGCTAAATCATAAATGTTTAAGCTAATGGGATTTTCATACTGTCTCTATAGCTGTAGCTTTAAAATTCAACTTCTGTAATTGGTATGGAAAGTTAATTTGTAGTCTTTTCAAGCCTTTAGGGATGGTGTGATGTGTGTCAAACGACCTCAAATGTGAATGTCTTGATTTTATTTTTATGACTTTAGCTACAGCATTTCCTGTTCCCAAAGCGAAACACTGGAATAACATGGAGTTGTCACTTAATTTAACGTAAACAATTGTTTTTAATGAGTAGTTTGTGTCATTGTCGTGTATATATTTGATTTCTATGTAATTTTACTTGAACAAATGTAGATAGTTTATGTTGCCTTTTCTGTTCAAATTTGCATGGCCTTCAAGTTGGCTGCAATGTGTCTTATATGGAAATACTTTCAAGATAACCGTTCCTTAGAAAGAAAGTAACGTTCCTGGGTCAGGGGAGGAGTTGCCATACTTTCTTTACAGATCTGAAACACTCCAGTTTAGGACAGAGAAAACCAACAATATTAGCACTTAATCTTTTCAGTTTTCCAGTTTACTTTCTCTTAAGGAATGAAAGGTAGTCTATGGTAGACAGTGGAGTTTTATGAGCTGCTTTTCGTAACTGACAACTGTTTTCAGCCCTAAGATCTAAAAGGTTGGCAGTTTAAGCAGCTGTTGTGCAGTTTAAGCAGTTAGCCTACAGACTGTAGAGCCACACGAGGGCCATGTGCTTTCACAAAGCCCCTACACCAAGGCACATGCCATGTCATACAATACTCTTAGCTGACAAGAGAATTTGGGAGTCAGTGAAGTCCTATAGTTCTTATCAGCAATGGGAGAGGGATAGAAATTTTTATATCCCAAACTTTTCTCAGTCTCAGTGACATGGATGTGTTGATATTCAACACAATCCCTAAACAAAGTGAAAACATAGTGGCTGGCTCCCTTAAAAAAAAAAAAAAGGAAAAAAAGCCTTGCTAATACACCCAGTTATCCAGCCACTCTGGCCAGTTCCATTTCCTGTCCTTTGTGGCTCTGACTGGAGACCCCAATGTGGGAGAGGTGTCATCCATTTAACGGAATGATAGCAGTAGCTAATGAAATTCACATTAGTTCAAATAAGGAAATACCTTCCCTTGCTAAGTTTTCTAAGTCAGAACAAATGCAAAAGAATAGTATTTAGACTAATCCAGATTTGCTTTACATGAAAAATGTAATGTCTGGATTTTCTTTTTTCCTTTACTTATGGCCTAAGGAATAAGTACTGATAAGGAATAATTTGAATGTAATTTTGTGAATGTGTATGGAAACTATAAACCAGGGATTTAGCCTTAATAAAAGGTAACCTTTCTGACATCTATTGTTAATCCTCCTTTGTACTCTTACTTGTACCTGCACTCTTATTTTGAGTTGTCATACTGCACACTGTATTGTGAAAACAAAGTAAAATTATATTTCAAATAAAACCACGGAGTACGTCCTGTGTTTATGTCCTCTGCTGTTCAAGGTTTCAACTCGCCTAACCACTCGGTTTGCAAGTTTTTGCCAGAAATAAGTCCACTTGGAAACTCTGAGTGAAACATAAAATACCTTTTAATTTATTCATGGTGGGGGAGTGCCCCCTATTGGCACAGATGTAGGTTCTGGTTCCTTGTTTTATTAAAGATAACATAACACTGTGAACTTAAACATTTTCAAGGAAAAAAAGAACGTATGTAATACTCGGCCAAACTCCACTTCTATGCAGCCAAGGATTTGAGGGGACAAAGACTAGGATGTGAGTTGACAAATATATAACATTCACTTTCCTACCGCACCACTACATTTCCCAAAGGAGGCAATCATACCAACAAAAAGTGTCACACATACACACCTGCTACCCATCTGGCTTTCTATTCCTGATCATTTCCTTCCCCTATGGATCACATCACTCCACACAACAAATTTGGTTCACTGTTTTCTTCTGATTTCTAGTTAACAACATGCTAACACCACAAAGTCATCCGCAGTTTTGTAGGGAGTTTAGCCAAGGCCAATACAAAAGAGCTTTAAGAAGCCACAGGAGAAATCTAGGTACTTCTCCTGCCTCAGCAGGTGAAGGTGAAGACACACTTTACCTGAGTGAAAAACCATTAAGTAACCGGGGCTCTCATACCCTTCGAGCTATTTTTTGCCTCCTAGAGAGGCAGTACATACTGCTTAAGAACCAAGGCCTGCATCCTAGCTCTGCTATCTGACCTGACAATGCCTCGGTTTCCTCTTCTGTAAAATGGAGAGAATAGTATTTACACTTCAGTCCAGTGTTGGGAGGATTAAATGTTAAGCCTTGAAAATAGGTTAACACTGAACTGCTTAGGAACCCACTTGCTGGTTTTCCAATCACTGCTAAGTTACCTACAGAATAAAATGTCCAATTCAAAACAGGACTTGCCAAAACTCAGCTCCTCCAGAACAGGCCTTGGATCTTACCTTTACCCAAAGTTTTAAATATAGAGGAGGCAAAAAAAAAGGGGGGGGGAGGGGTCAGAAGGGTATAAAAACACTGAAAAAAAAATCCAGGCTGCCTGGATTTAAATCCTGGATTCACCACTTTACAGCTTTTTGACCTAGAACCAATTACTCTAGCTCCTTGTGCCTTAAAATTTTCTTCCGTGAAATGTGGGATTAAAATGACATGCGTCTTATGGTTGTTGTGATAATATAAATAAAATACTTAAAAGAGGGCCTGACACATAACTAAAGATTATTTTGTAGCAGGTATTAGATGTTTGCAAAATTGCTTGGGACTTTAAAAAGCCTAGGCTTGCAATATCAATTGACTTACATACAATACTGATAAGCCAAGTGTTAACAATTTCACCAAAAATTGTCCTATAGCCAATCACCTCAGAAATGCCCAGCACTGGGTACAAGAATCCCCGAGTAAACATGGATGGCTCACCAGCTCAAACAGCACAAAAAACCTCAGATCCTGATACGGCCACTCAAATGCCTCATCTTCCTATTTAATGGGAGACAGCAAGTGTTACTGCTTGTAAGATAAAAGTTACCTTGTTACGTACGCTCAGATGAGAATTATTTTTTCTTAGGTTAGGGAAGAAGTATTAGTAACCCCTCTTAACTCACTGGCATGTTTATGAGTACCCTGAAATTCAACAATCATCTCCATAAGCTTATCAGGAAAACACACACTATGAAGGGGGAAATAAGAGACTATCCATGTCCTACATGTCCGCAGACAAAGCTCTTGGTAGAGGACAATCCCGTGTGCCAATCTCAGGTTAAGAACGTGACTGATACTGTTAGTACATTAAGGAAAAAAAAAAAAAAGAACAATTCATTTTTATATCATTTTACTGTTTATACCATAATCACATTAAAATTGGCAGAACTCCCATGACAGGACAGAGACCTGTCATGCAAGGAAAAATAGTGAAGGTTTCATAAAGCTTGAGAGGAAGTACCAGGGTTACACAGGACGGCGGCAGCACTCTCAGACAACAGCGCCACAGTGTCGGAGCAGGAAGGAAGCGGGCTGCTACAGCAACAGCTGGCCCGAGGCCACTATTTCCTAAGGGGAATTTCCTAATATGCTTGGTAAGCAGATCACTTGAACAGATGTACATGGAACAGGGTACTGCTTCTGCCGAATAAATTCTACAGGTTCCTGGGCAGGGTCTACAAATCTCAAGTGATAAATGGTTGGTGATTAGGATTTTGCAAAGGTAGCCCCAAAACCAACATCCAGGAAAATTTAGCCACCAGTGAATTCTTGGGCCAAAAAATAAATAGCCACACATACCAAACCTACACATCGTGATTTAGGATGGTGCCATGTTAGGGCTTATGAAAGAACCAGAGCAGGAAAGATTATTCAAACAGAAGATCCTCATCCTTCTCTTCGGCCAAAAGATTAGCAGGCTCCATCACCTCGCCAGCTGCCCTCCGTTGCTCCAAGTCTTTCTCCGATTTTTCCTTGAGAATCTTTTTCTTCTCCTGTATTTTCTTTAACCTGTAAAACAAAAGGAAGGAATTTTCTGAATACTAATTCTAAGAAGATTTGATTCCACTAGTTTTGTAACAAGGATCATAAACATCTATAAACTAGAACAAAATTTTATTTCAATTGCAGTGATCTATAACCCATTTTTAAAATAAAGATTTGAGGTAGAATATACACATTTTTAAGCTAATAATGGACTTTGAGGAGGGGGGAGAGAGACTATACAAGTCCTACGTGTCTGCAGAGAAAGCTCTTTTTAGAAGATAATCCCATGTGCCAATCTGAGCATAAGACTGTGACTGATATTCTTAACAGTAAATTTTTTTTTTAAAGTCCCTATCCCAGACTCTAAACCTTGAAATCCATTCCTTGATAATGGAACACCTTTTGAGCACTCAGGCATTTATTAAAATTTTGGATCAGTTTGGAATACCACAATCCTGAATGTCACTAAAGGACAGGAACACAATAACCTTTCATAATTAAGATTATAAATCATAGATGCTACTCACGATTATAAATCATAGATGGTCACATCTTCCCTGAATACAGGTCTTCACCCGTCTCCCACCATCTCTGAACCTGACACTGACCTCTGTACTACCTGATCGGTGTCATCATCCCTTCCAACTCTAATTGTTCATAACCAATTTATGTACATGCCTCATTTCTCTGAGTACTGTGCTAATTCTCCAAGGTATGATTTATATTATTACATCATGCCCCCAAGTACCTTATACTTTCTCCTGGGACATGTTCACCATGCAATACATATTTGCTGATTAATTCTAGTTTCTTTTTATGAGGGAGACACCCGATCTAAACTATTATTTCATTTTAAAGAATAATCAAGTCTATGAATAGTTTCCCCTAAGGGCCTACCTTCTTGGAGATGCCGTATTTTAAATATGTGCAAAACTTGGCACAGATTAGTCTCCAGAACCTTTGCCAATATTATGTCTCTTGCTTCGCATTTATCAGAATGAAATACAGGCTGTGTTAATTCTAAAGAACATAAGCCAACAGTCTCTGAGCAACTTGAGGCTTTAGAGTATGAAAAACAAGAAATTATCCATAACTGCCAATTCCAACAAACCTATAGAACTCTTCTCGCTCTCTCTCATCCAGCTCTGTGATGATATAAGCAAGGGTACGTTCAATCCGGGGAATGATGACTAGGGTTAAAAAATATATATGAGAACTTCAGACCTTTTTTCAAATTGCCAATGTTCATCTGTATAACAGTTACTTTTTCTAATTGTAAAATTAATGTACATTTAATGCAGAAAACAAAAACAAAAAATTAAGTATAATCCAACCATCCTAAAATAACTACTGTAAGTATTTCAGTATATGCCCTGTTAGTGTCCTTTCTATGGACAGATAACATACACAACACACACAACACAATTCTATGGACCACAATATACACAACATTGAATATACTGAATTTATATGAATATACAACACTGAACCACAGATGTTAATTTAAATATAATCGCAATCCCTGTTAAAAAGTAGATCATCAAGCAGAGAGAATGAACTAAGTTGAGTTTTGGGTTTGTCATAAGGTGCTTCACAGAGAATGTGCCCATCTGCTTCTAAAATGTGAACTCACTGAGAGCTGAAGCTATCACCTCATCCACTCTGTGTGGCTTGAGGTTCCATTTACAGGGCCTGGCACCAGCAGCTGGTCAGGAAATGTGCATGGAGTTTTTAAAAATGAGGTAAGTTCCTCTTATTTAACACTGAGAGTGCAAAATAACTTCTTTGCTGTTCAAAATTTATTCCTTTCTTACCTTAAAATTGAATGTTTCTTTAATGAGAACAGAGTTTCTTGAACGGAAGTATTGTGCCAACACTAAGCACAGTTATAGAATAATGAAAGAGGTGGGAAATAAATGCATCAAATGGGACAATGTTTAGGAATCAAGGAGAAGAGCAGGACATAAGGCCTACAGGAAAGGGATTTAAAGTTAAGCATGTAATGTGTTCAAGAAGATTACTGAATCACTGGAAAGAGCTAAAGAACACACTAGGCCTTTTGAAAAATAGTTTCATCCTTTATTCATAACCAGAAATGAATGAACACTTCAGAATTTTTAACTTAGCATTTCCTTATGTATATGGATTTGGGAGAAGTCACACAACTCTCTTAAAGCGCTTACAACTAACACCTCCCTGTGCTGACCCCACAGCCCAGCCCGCTGCGGATGCGGCACGGGCTCGTTCACCGTTTGATCAGTGCCTGATTCCCACGCAAATGTGGAGCTATGGACAAGCGAACGAACAAAGCCTCACAGCAGCTTATACTCACCATGTTCAATGGCATTTACCCGCCTGTTGGTGATCTTAATGGCTTCATCCAAAGTAACAAAGGAAGTCTAAAATAAGAGGACAAATTAGTAATTTAAGCATGAAGTTTTCCTAATATCCTGTTCACTTGGCTTTACGCAGACTGCACCTGTAGAGAACATGTGGAAACCAAGACTACTTTTCAACAATTCCCAAAGAGCTAACACTACTTCCAGGCTATTACGATCTGTTTACTTCAGATTTGCCTAAAGTTATAAAAATGGCAACGGGAAGGAATCAGGCTCTATTATACACACACACACACACACACACACACACACACACACACACAAAGTGGCCACAAAGCGGGGGAAATTAGCTTTCAAGCATCAACCACATTATATTTACATTTAAATCTAGTATTGGCTGTTGCTGTTCTCACCCACCAAAGAGTGAAGCTCTACCGAGGCACATACATTTTGTTCGTCATCAGTAGGGACAATGGTGCAGAAGCCACCATTTCAGAAATTAAAACACCTCTGGGCTTGTCTCCCATAAAATCATGAAAACAGCCTAAAGCACGAAGTGCAGGATGCTCTGATTCAAGACGTGACTCCTCCCCAAAGGACTCTCAGATATCCGACTAGACCCAGAGCTCTGGCTCTTTTGCTACTCACCTGCAGCGAAGCTAGTTCCACCAGTAATTCTACTGCTTTGGCATAATTCCTCTTTAATTTAGCCAACTGTTCCCCACCTCTGGCTAAACCAGTCAGCTCATAACCTGAAAGAACCAGTCAGACAACATTTGTCATTAGGGAGTAAATAATCTTCCCCATAAATTTCCCCAAAAGAAGTCAGACTAGGGCGCCTGGGTGGTCACTAGGTTAAGCCTCTGCCTTCGGCTCAGGTCATGATCTCAGGGTCCTGGGATCGAGCCCCACATCGGGCTCCCTGCTCAGTGGGGAGCCTGCTTCCCCCACTGTCTCTGCCTGCCTCTCTGCCTATTTGTCATCTCTCTCTTTCTGTCAAATAAATAAATAAAATCTTTGAAGAAAAAAAAAAAAAAGTAAGACTAATACCACACAAGGAGAAACAAATTCACTGACCCCTGTTTAATGCAAACATGAAGTACCCAACCCACTCCCCAGGCCATGCTGAACAGTCAATATGTTTGTTTTTTCTGATGTGAGATTTTCAGCATTTATGTTTTTATTGAAAATACAGTTAAAATACAGTGTAATATTAGTTTTAGGTGTTCAATATAGTGATTCAACACTTCCATGCAGTGCCTGGTGCTCATCACAAGAGCGCTCCTTACCCACCACCGCCTAAGTCACCCCTGCCCCTGCCCCATAGCCATCAGTTTGTTCTCTATAGTTAGGAGTAACAGTGAACGTGTTTTTCTTCCCAAGGAAACTATTCTAAATATAACTATAGGAGAAGCTTTTAACCAACCTTCACTTTATCACACTGGCCCCACTGCCTCACACCCACAGTACAGTGCCACGCCGGTAACAGGTGACTCTCCAGCTCGCTCCACTTCTTCACTGGGGCTACCCTGAACACTCTATGTGCACCAGTGGGAGAGGAGGGCCAAAAACTGTTTCTATGAAAAGAACTTGATTACTTTGGAAAGACTCAATAATGTGTTACTACCCCAAAAATGCTACCAAATTAGGAAATGCTAAAACAATTTTTAAAAATTGAGAATAAGCTATAAAATCTAGGAAGATTTAGCATTCAGACTGCATCACAGAGTCTAAGACCTTATTTTAAAGAAACTCAAACTGGAAATTATAAACAATGCATTATGGGTGTAGTTTATGCAGAAGAAGTCTAATTAGTGGATTCATACTCAAAGCTCACGGCCTTGTTTTTTTTTTAATGGCAAATGACTGTATGTTTATGTATTTCTAGGTTAAAATAAAGTATTTTAGGACATTATAATGTTTTGTGACTCTCTGCCATAACACTTTTGTTAACTGACTAACTCCTACCCCAAGTGTACCATATGAGAATGCGAACACTGGAACCACTAAACTCTAAGAAAGTCTATTCCAGCACCCATTTTCCAGAAAAAGATTCCTTTGAAGAGGAATCTAGAGAACCCAGAGACATATACTACCCAAGCGTCACACTTACTATCAGTTCCTTCATGGTAATGTTCAAATACTGGCAAAGTAACACCTGTTAAAACACAGAAACATGTAGGTTCACAAACATGTCCTTGAAGTACTGTTTCTTAATCACCATTGTTTGTCGTGTTTCTTTTTCAGCAAATACTCAAAAGTCAAGAGACTGTCTGGAACTTAACTAGTTTCAATGAATTTAGGAACCTGGTACCCTAAGTGTTCACCCCTATTTAATAACCAAATTATCCTAAGTAATAAGAGCTCAAGCTGTTATAGTTTTCTTTCCTTTCAGCTTTGAGATATATGTAAAATGCGAAAAAAATGCACATATTTAATGTATAGATTTTGATGAAATTAGATATATGTATACACCTGTGATACCATCACCACAATCAAGGTAATAAACTTACCACCTCCAAAAGATCTGTGTCCCTTTTCTTGTTTCTGTGTGTGTATATGTGCGTGTGTGTGTTAATACTCAACACAAGATCTACCCTAAGTTTTTAAATACACAACACTGCATTGTTAACTACAGGCACTACATTGTACAGCCAATCTCTAGAATGTATTCATCATGTATAACTCACTTTATCCCCATTTCCCCCGCCCCCCATCCTCCGGAAACCACCAGTTACAAAGATTCTAACATGTAAAGCAATTCAACATGTTCTAAGTAGAAGAGATTAATTAGGACATGAAGATCTTGCTGTATAAACAGGTTCATTTTTTAAATGTCATCTTTTCTTCCGAAGGATTCTAAAGCATTGAAAAATTACCTGCTACGTTATCTTTCTTAGCTCGGATCTTCACTTGGGCTTTATTAACATTCTGGATAACTGTGGTACTGCGGAAAAAGAAAAGGCCTTGATTGTTGAGATTTTAGAGTAAGAAATAAAACTACAGGGACTCATCAGGCAGTTTCAACAGGGTGAGATGGCACAAGTATGTTTGGTAACTGTCTTTCCAGCAAAAAATCACTGCTACCAGAGTAGGGCGTCAGAGAGCAAAGGATGAACAACACTCAAAACATGACCATAAGAAACCAAGAAAGAACGATCTTAAAGTACACGGATTGCTTGAGTTTTCAGTTAGGCATGTGGTGCCACAGGTATGACATTAAGGATTTTTATTCAGGTAATGTAATTTAGAGACAACTCCTTCCTTCTAGGTTTGCTGTCCAAACTTCTAGATTTGGCTTAGTAGGACTTCGATCCCCTTACCCTAGAATGTAACTTCCATCCGGTTTTGTCAGACTCCCCAACCTGTTCTTACCATAAAATAAAGTGTTTTCACCATAACCACCCTCAAATGCACTCACACACCACTTACATACTACTGAGTCCCTCCCTCCGCCAGAGAAGTCAATGCAAGCGGCTCTTCTACCAACACTGGCAAAAATTAAAGTCCATCTCTTCAAGAGACCCTATGCCCCTGAGGCTGTCAGACCTGCCAGCAAAGGCTCCTGAATAACACAGACCAGGAATGGAGACACTGCGCCACTGGGTAAAGACAACTAAAATAAAAAAAACCTGGAAAACGAATTCCACCTCTGTCCCCAAATAGCCATTTGACCTCAGGAAGGCAGTAAATTTAAAGGAAGAAGAAAAACATTTGCCTGGTTTATCACACAAGCTTATTTGGGGAGAACCACACAACATAACTGGCAAAACCCCCTTGGAAAGCAAAAACTAAACCATCTTACACGCTTTGTATATAAAGCATATGTTGACAGCACAAAAGCCTTAGAATTCATGCCCTTTAAACCAATTCCATTCTCAAACTTATCCTAAGGAAATACTGCTACAGAAATTAAAATATGTATGCATGAAAATGTTCATGGCATCTTTTCTAATATTCCTAAAATCTGAAAATCAACCCGAAAGTTCACCATTAGGAGAAAGAGCTAATAAATTATGCACAACTAGAGAAATGCTATACAGCTACGTGAAAATAAGGATGTTTATGATACAATGTTAAATGAAAACGGACTACAGAATGTTAAGTATCCTGTGCCTACAACTCTGTACCAGACATAAGTGGGTGATAATAAAGACACTGGTGTTAGGGTCATAGAGTAATAATAAAGAACACTTCTAACCCCATCATTTATCTTTAATGCTTAGATGTTTTTTAAGAGTAGCTTTTAAGGGAAATTATGAACATGAAAGCACTCTGATTTTTCAAAACACCCCATTAAGTCTTCTTACCTGAAGTCCCCTGCTGTGAACTTGGCCTCAGCAAGTGAGAAGGCAGCTTCTCTCATCACTTCACCCATCAACATTTTAGTCTGGAAAAGCATAAACCAAGAAATAATTCAACCACGTTTCTTACAAGGATTAAAAAAAAAAAAAAAATCATGTTCCTTTAATAACCAGTATTTCATAGCAGGTGTGTGTCTAAAATATTGACTTGATAACAAAAATACCCAATTGTGCTTGAACAGTTTTGGTTATGGTCACTAATAGTACAATACCATGTGTTCTATAATTAAAACATCAGAATAAAGACATCAAGAAATAGAAAATTATCTTTACTGAAGGACCCCTCTTATTCCTGAATGGGTCCATACTAATGTGCTCAAATTAATCTCTCAAATTCACTGACATGCAGAAAAAATCTTTTTTTTAAAGATTTATTTGTTTGACAGAGGGAACACAAGCAGGGGGAGTAGGAGAGGGAGAAGCAGGCTTCACGCCAAGTGGGGAGCCCGATGCAGGGCCCAATCCCACAACCCCAGGACCATGATCTGAGCCGAAGGCAGACACTCAACCAGCTGAGCTACCCAGGTGCCCCTGTGCAGAGAAAATCTTAATGGTATAGTGATTCTAATATAAACCTGGACTATTTAAAGTTTGAAAAAAATCCAACAATCTTTTTGAAAGAAAAAAAGGGCAAATGGGCAGAGTTGCCAAGTATTAAAAATAAGAAAATACGTCCAATACAGGGACAAAATAAATCAATGAACTATAACAGAATTCAGAAAGTCACAGGTCTCTACGGAAATTTAGTAACATGAAGAGACCATGCACCTGGCCGCCCACTTACAAAACGAGCTTGTCCCTACCTCCTTACATCACACACTCCAGAAATTCTTAAAGTTAAAAAAAACAAAAAACTATAAAACATAGAATATTTTCTTAATCTTTTTTAGGCCTTTCTAAGAATTATTTATAACCCAAAAGCTGTATTTAAAAAAAAAAAAAAAAAAAGACTTAACAGATTTGACCAAGTATTTTTTTTAAAAAGGCTAGAGAGAAATATTATTAGCATTTTACACAGAATATTTGTAGAACTTCTACAAAAAGATAAATAAAAGAAATTCACCAAGAAAAATCAAATTACCTGTAAACATGAAAAAATGCTCAACCTACAATCAAAAGTAGTGCAAATTAAAAGATATTAATTTTAGGGGCACCTGGGTGACTCAGTCTGTTAAGTATACAACTCTTGATTTTGACTCAGGTCATGCTCTCAGGGTTGTGGGATCAAGTCCTGCATCAAGCTCCATGCTCAGCATGGAGTCTGCTTGAGATTCTCTCTCTCCCTCTACTCCTCCCTTGGCTCACTCACTCGCTCACTCTCTCTGAAATAATAAAAAAAACTTTTTTAAAGAATAAAATTGGGGCGCCTGGGTACATTTGCAACCCTATACCACAATATTAATATACTTATAAAACCAGAGAAAATACTTAGAACTGAGGTTCCCCAACAATCCTGTAAAGAGGTCCTTTGCACAGACTCAGCAGTTGGAGTGCTTATAACTTCAGTGTAAGTGTGGCCTATGACAAGATGTTTCCAGACACAACAGAAACATTAACAATGCAAGATTATGGGCAGTAAGAAATGTTTTACCGGCAACACATATGGCAAATCTTCAGTTAGCAAAAACAGGGTAGTGGTTTAGTCCCCATGAGCTAATATCCTCCCTGACTTTGGTATTTTCCCCAGGAGATGAAACCATTTATTTTGCTCCTTCATATCATCAGAGGATATGACTATGTTGTACATACACAACCTCGCTAACAATCCTACGTCAACAATCAACATACAGCTCTTTGCATGTGCTGGGCCCTGACCAATATATAATGAAGGGTTAAGAATACTGGATGTGAGGGGGAAGAGCAAGATGGCAGAAGAGCAGGAGACTTAAATATCATCAGGTCCCAAGAGTTCAGCTAGTTAGTTAGCATTCTGAACACCTACAAACTCAAGAGATCAAAGAGAAGAAGACCAGCAATTCTAGGAATAGAAAATCAACCACTTTCTGGAAGGTAGGATGTCCAGAGAAGTGAATCCAAGGCGATACACAGTAAGAGACCGCGGCGGGGAGGGGCGAATCCCGGCAAGCAGTGGAGCACAAAATCAGAACTTTCAGAAGTCTGCTCCACTGAGGGATGTCACTCCAGAGGCTAAGTGGGGGGTGGAGCCCTCGTGGGAACAGTGTGGTCTCAGGACCTGTGGGGTCACAGAAAGACCTGGGGTGCCTGAGGGTGGCAGAGCTCCCAGGGATTGGAGCAGGGAAGCCGACTGCAGAGATGGAGCCAAGGAGGGGCTCTCAACTCAGGGTTACCTTAAACCATGATCCAAGGCACAGTCGGGCCCCTGCTCTTCAAGTAGGAACCCCACAAGCGGCAGATCTGGGATGACCCCCCTCCTTACTCTCCAGAAGGAGCAGCACAGGAGCATGCAGCAGGAATCTGCTGGGTTTGGAGACTCCGAATGGGGCCGTGCGCCAGATATGGAAACACTGCGTCACAGGCTGGGTGAGCACAGAGTGTGGTCAGAGACCAGGGATAAGGGGGGGATTAACTGCTTTTCTCTGGGGGTGTATTGAGAGTGGGGGCCCTAAGCTCTCGGCTCCCCCTGGCCAGAGACTGGGAGGCTGCCATTTTCATTCCCATCCTCCAAAGCGGTACAGAAAGTGTTCAGGGAACAAAAGGTCCCGAGAGCAAAACCGAGCAGATTACTTAGCCCGGCCCCTGGCAAGGGCAATACAATTCTGCCTCCGGCAAAGAACATTTGAAAATTAGTACAACAGGCCCCTCCCCCAGAAGATCAGCAAGAACATCCAGCCAAGACCAAGTTCACTAATCAATGAGAACTGAGGAACTCCAGAGCTAGGGGAATATAGCACACAGAATTCATGGCTTTTTCCCCATGATTAATCTTTAGTCTTTCAAAGTTAAGTTTTTTATATTTTTTCTTATTCTATTTTTTAAAATTTTCCTGTTTCCTATTTTAACGTTTAACTATTTTATCAATACATTTTTAAAACAATCTTTTAAAATTTTCATTGTTATATTCTACCCCTTCATTGTATTTGACCTTATTTTTTGTATACATGTAGGTTTTTCTTTTTTAAAATTTTGGGATACAGTTACTTTTAATAGATCAAAATACCCTAAATCTAGCACATGGCTTTGTTCTAGTCTCAGCCTGATCACATTCTTTTCTCTCTTTTTTTTTTTAAGATTTTATTTATTTGACACAGAGAGAGAGAGAGAGAGAGATCGCAAGCAGGCAGAGAGGCAGGCAGAGAGAGAAGGGGAAGCAGGCTCCCCGCCTAGCAAAGAGCCCGATATGGGGCATGATCCCAGGACCCTGAGACCGCAACCGGAGCCAAAGGCAGAGGCTTAACCCACTGAGCCACCCAGGCACTCCTTTTTTATTTTTTTAACCAACTTCTTATATTATCGATTCCTTTCTTAGAATCTTTTTTAATTTTCATCTTTACAGTCATATTCCAACCCTTCATCGTGTTTACCCTTATTTTTGTATACATGTAAGATTTTCCCTCAAAATTTTGGGAGGCAGTTTCTTCTAACAGACCAAAATATATCCAAAAATCAAGTGTGTGTCTCTTCTATTCACCAGTATTTTAAAAAAAGGGGGGGATATATATATACACATATACATATGTATATACACACATATGTATGTGTGTGTGTGTGTGTGTGTGTGTGTGTGTGTGTGTATTTTTCCCCCCCTTTTCCTTCCTTCTTTCCTCTCCCCCCAGTTTCGGGTCTCTCCTGATTTGGTTAGTGTCTATTTTTCTGAGGTCGTTGCAACCCTTTTAGTATTTTGTTCTCTCATTCGTCTATTTTTTTTTTTTAAAGATTTTATTTATTTATTTGTCAGAGAGAGAGGGGGAGAGAGAGCAAGCACAGGCAGACAGAATGGCAGGCACAGGCAGAGGAAGAAGCAGGCTCCCCGATGAGCAAGGAGCCCGATGTGGGACTCGATCCCAGGACGCTGGGATCATGACCTGAGCCGAAGGCAGCTGCTTAACCAACTGAGCCACCCAGGCATCCCCCATTCGTCTATTCTTATCTGGATAAAATAACAAGGTGGAAAAACTCACCTCAGGGAAAAAAAAAAGAACAAAAGGCAGTACCAATGGCTAGGGACCTAATCAATACAGACATTAGTAATATGTAAGAACTAGAGTTCAGAATAACAATTACCAAGGTGCTAGCTGGGCTCAAAAAAAAGCACAGAAGATACTAGAGAATCCCTTTCTGGAGAAATAAAAGCACTTTCTGGAGAAATAAGAGAACTAAAATCTAACCAAGTTGAAATAAAAAAACTATTAATGAGGTGTAATCAAAAATGGCGGCTCTTACTGCTAGGATAAATGAGGGAGAAGAAAGAATTAGTGATAAAGAAGACCAAATGATGGAGAATGAAGTTGAACAAAAGAGAGACAAACAACTACTGGACCACAAGGGGAGAATTTGAGAGATAAGGGATACCATAAGATGAAACAATATTAGAATAAGTGGGATCCCAGAAGAAGAAGAAAGAGGGGGGCAGAAGGTATATTGGAGCAAATTATAGCAGAGAACTTCCTAATGTGACAAATGGAACAAGCATCAAAATCCAGCAGGCATAGAGAACACCCCTCAAAAATGAATAAAAATAGGTCCACACCCCCTCAACTAGTAGTAAAACTTACAAGTCTCAGTGACAAAGAGAAAATCCTAAAAGCAGCTCAGGACAAGAGATCTGTAACATACAACGGTAGAAATATTACATTGGCAGCAGACCTATTCACAGAGATCTGGCAGGCCAGAAAGGACTGGCATGATATACTCAGAGCATTAAATGAGAAAAATATGCAGCCAAGAATACTATATCCAGCTAGACTGTCACTGAAAATAGAAGCTTCCAGGACAAACAAAAACTAGAAAAATTTGCAAACACCAAATCAGCCCTACAGGAAATATTGAAAGGGGTCCTCGAAGCAAAGAGAGAGCCTAAAAGTAACAGACCAAAAAGGAGCAGAGA